AGCCCCTAAAAATGTAAAAATGTGTCGTAAAACCTATAAAAAAAAATTTTATGCTTGTGTAACCATATCGGAATTTTGGGACGGTCTCACCTGAATGCTGAGATATCATCGAAAAACGTTTCACCGATTATAGAAAAATTTTTTGTATTGTTTTACAAAGAATTTTTTATAGTTTTTCGATGATATCTCAGCATCCACTGGGCCGATTTTGATGATTTAACCACCATTAGATTCGACTTAATGAACTCTACAACTTTACTTAGAGACTCAAAGGTGGTTAACTTAATACAAAAAATTAATTAATAAATTAGTGATTATAAAGAGGTTTTTTATTAATAAATTTGATTTAAAAATTAAATTTTAAGGTGATAGTGATTATAAGTGATTTGTAAGGTTTTTGCATTATGTTTTAAGTCCGTCACACAAAATAGGGTGCTTAAATAGAGGTGTGACTATATGGGGTGTGATTGTAGAGAGGGCAGACTGTACACATAAGTTTAAATGCGTCGTAATAATTTATTAATTAATCGTAAATTTATGTTGAAAACAACCGTATATCATTTTCAATTAATAATTGTCGCGGATCATAATTTAAAATGAAATCTACATTTTCTACTCAACCTGTTAACCTTCTTAATCCCACTTATACTTGTTTATTATAACTTTACTTTAAAACTAACCCCTAACCCTAACCCCTATCCCTAAAAAATGCACCCCAAAAAATTTTATTTTTCGAGATTTTATATTATAATTTCATTTTGATCTGGATTTCATTATGATCCGCCACAATAATTGTATAACATTTATAACCCGATCGTATCATTATATAACGGTCTTTGCAACATTCGTTTGTGGTGTTTATTCTATACCATTTAGCCTGTCATATGGGGTCTTTACCTTGAAAATCAAATATATGGGGCCTTTGCTAGGAAAATCGAGTTTTGGGACCCCTTTAATCAAAAATAAGATTTTGATCGTATATTAATCTTTAGTATAGGGATAATACTTGACATAATTTTTAGGCAAGATTGTCTTAATACGAAAGTGATCTTTTTTGATTCCGGATTTTTTTAAATATAAGATCTAAAAATAGAATCAGATGTTCTATTGTCACGTGATATAGATTGTCAAAGTTCATTTTTATTGGTCATCTATTATCTCTTTTTTTTATCGTTTTAGGTCCCGACTTTCTGCTAGGCGTTAGCGTTAGTTGTTATCACATACTATTACTGTTTTGAGTTTTGTGATCTTCACTTCTTGTTTTATCACTATCTCAGGTTTTCTGTCACTGTCTTAGGCTCCTTCTGGTCCTTAATTTTTGCTTCACACTGATTGATTCTTGCCGCTTTGGTTCCTAATCTTTAGATTTTCTCTTTCTGCTTTGAGTTCTTGATTTCTAAATCAGGTTCTTTGATCTTTCAGGTCTTCAGGAAGTTTCTTGATCTCTACTTCAGGTTCTATTACTACCCCGGGTTTTTGTTCTTTGCCCAGGTTTTTTGATGATCTTTACCTCAGGTTCCTCAATCTTCGCCTCAGGTTCCTCGATCTTTGCCTCAGGTTCTTGATTTTTGCTCTGAATTCTTTCATTGTTTCAGGTTCTTTGTTATTTTATTATTTTTGCTTCAAGTTTTTTATTGTTGCTTTGAGTTCCTTGATCTCTGCCTCAGGTTCTCTGTTACCACTTGAGTTTTTGATCACTAAATCAGGCTTTTTATTTTTATTTTTTATTTTTTTTAGATTTTCGATCTTTGCTTTGGATTTTTGGTCACTGGCTTGGGTTCCTGATCTCTGTTTCAAAATTTTTGTTTCGGGTTTTTTGTCACTTCCTCGGGCTTTTTTGATTTTTGTTTTAGAGTTTCTGTTGCTATCTCAGGTTTTATGAACTCTACCTCAAGCTTTCTGTCACTGCAGCAGGTTCTTTGATCTCTGCTTCAGGTTTTTCGCCGCTGTCCTGGGTTCTTTGATCTCTGCTTCAGGTTTTTCGCCGCTGTCCTGGGTTCTTTAATCTCTGCTTTAGGTTTTCTGTTGTTGCCTCAAGTTCGTTGATCTCTGCTTCAGGTTTTCTATTACTGTCTCGGGGTTTTGATCTCTACTTCAGGTTTTCTGTTACTATCTCGGGATTTTTATTGTTGCTTCGAGTTCTTTGACTGTTTTCTGGTGTTTGGATCCTTGATCTTACCCTGGTTTGTTGTTTTTGCTTTAGGTTTTTTATTATTCTATACTTTTTCTTTAATTACTAATTACCGTATCATACTTTTAATTATACTGTTTCAGGCCTTTAATTATATTACTGCATTTGGCCTTTAATTACTATATCATGCTCTTAATTACCGTATTGTGCTTTAAATCACTGTATTATTTTTTTTAATTGCTGTGTTCTACCTTTAATCACAATATAATGTCTTCATGTCTTTAACTACTGTATTGTGATTTCGATCACAATTTTTTTTTTATTCTGATACGTTTTAATAAATTATTTATTCAAAAAATTTATTAATTTTATTTAATAAAATAAATATGGGAAATTTATGTATAAGTGCCTGAAAAATGAAAATAATTACTTATAAGGGTCCAAAGCAGAAATTTATCGTAACTAATTAGATTGCGATATTTATAATTCTATAAATGCAATTTTCTTTTGACAGTTAAATGTATTACTTTTTATTCTCTTGACGTCTTATATGCGAAAATTATAATGCCTTTTGTCGATTTCCAAAGTAATTTAGCTTTATTAACGCGTAGTAACCTTCACAAAATATGATTCATATTTCATGTTTTATAACTAATTTTGGTGCAAAATAAACTTATTTTAGAACCAAAATATTGATCTTAACCCAGTCGAATTGTACCTTAGTTAAATTAGTTTATTAAGCGAAGGATATAGCATAAAATAGATAAAGTAGTACATTTAATACAGTAATAATGCTCAAAGAGCCACTATTGTTATAACGTATGGTTATTTTGATAAAATTTTTTAAAATTTGGGCCCGTAGACATAATTACTTTCGCTTTGAACCCTTATTTGTAATTATTTTCATTTTTCAGACCCTTATGTAAATCTCCCAATAAATATTATTTATTTTCATCTTTAATTTTTTCTGGATTTGTACAATATACATCTTTATACGGGTCATCTACATGTTGTCTAATTTTTGTATATAAATAGTATTTTCTTTCCTTTGTTAATAATTTAATAGGAATAGTTTTTAAGGTAGTGTTAATATCAAAGTTATACTCGCGCAATATTTGAAATGAAATTTCTGGCCCACCCGATTTAGTTGATGCATAAACTTTTCCGATATCTGTAGGTAAGCTACTAAATCTAAAATGGTAGTATTGTTTTATATTGGGAAAATTTTTAAAATGATCGTTAAATAATAAAGAAAAATCGTGCCAAGCCCAACCTAATCCATCGTTATATAAAATTGCTTTGTTTCCTTTTGAAGAATTATTAATAATTTGCTCAACATTGCTTATTACATTAACTTTATGATTTCTATACATCTTTTTAATTTGACCAAAAAAAGAGTCACAAATAAATTTCGTATGACCCGGGATCATAAAATTTACCGTGATTTCTTCATACCAACCTAACATTATTAACCAGGAATAAAAAAAAAGGGTTAAGTTATTTTTATTTTGCCCGCTACAATTATCGCAAGTAATATGCAATTTTTTTTTTCCTTCACGAGCAAATTTTTGAAGAAAATAATAAACCATATTAAGTGTAGTATTTGCTCCTTTAGAAGTATCTTCCGGAAATTCATTCTCTCCTATTACAAAGTTTAATTGAAAATTTTGACCGCCTTCTGTTTTACATACTCCAAATAAATGTACAGAAAATGGATTTTTAAAGTAAATTGCCCCTACTTGTTGCGGTGAATATGGAATTGATACACATTGTGCCCAATCGTAACAAACATGCGCAATTGATAAATCTTTTGCGCTCTTATTTATATTATCATTATAGTGTTGCCTTTCTCGATCCGCTGCAATGCAATGTTGATCATATTGAGTTTTAATTTTATTATATTCTTCTATATCCGATTTTGCTACTACTAATTTAGCTTTAAAAGTTTCACAAACTTCGCAAAGATCACTTGCAGGTGGTTGAAATTTAAGATGAGGAATCATTTCGTGCCAAAGCTTTCTAAATGTAAAATAAGAAATAATTTTTGTATTTTCACTATTTTCATTATTAAAATGTTTTTTAAACTCATTATAAACTGAAGTATATGTATTTCCTGTAGGCAAATAAATAAACGGTTCTGACTCATTTTTATGTCGCATAGGAGAAGGAAGTCCATTAATATTTCCGTATTGTTCTAAAAAACATTTAACTGGAAATGTAATGCTAGAATCAAGGAATACTTTACTTTTTAATTTAGGTACACGTCCAGTATTTCCGTGAGTTCTTTCAGTTAATCCTTTTTCTTGTAAATGTTTTTGAATTGCTAAAAGGAAATGATCACTTATTCCACAAAGTTTTAAAAATACTGGCTTACAAAGTAATAACGATGCATTATAGTTGTATCTATAATTTTGTCTTTGAGACTCTTCATTTTTATTAGTAATTTCGAAGGCCATTAATTGTGCTTTTAAAAATAGCTCGAGTTCCGGTTTTTCTAATGCTCTTATTTGAAAATGTCTTTCAAAAAAATTTTTAAATCCAACTTTTTCATAACAAGTTCTTAAATCTTTTTTTTTAGACAAATGACGGCATGTACAGTTTGATTGTTTAAAAAATTGCATTAGATCATGAACTGTATCAAGAACTAATTCATTGTCTTCGTATTCTTCTAATCCCAGTTCAATTAAATTGTATACTGGTCTTAAAGAATCCGAATCTAAATTATCCATGCTTAAATCTTCAGACGATGACATAAAGATATTAATTATATAAAGCTAAATGCTATCAAACAAAAAAAAATTTTGTATAGTTTAAACATACTAAATGCGCTCTTTTAAATATACATTACACTTTCAAGATTTAGAATTAAATGCCTTTTACATATATTTTATATATTCAAAAATTACATGTAGAATCCTGGATATACACTCTGTAAGTATACATTATAATTATTTATTTTAAAACGCCTTATAACTAAATAAAAAACAATACAAATACATGTGCTTTTTATCTTTTACTATAAGATACAGAATAAATGCTATTATTATTTAGACTTGAATTTAAAATTCACTGAAAACTACATATTAAGAGGCAAATAATTAACTTATAATACTACTATACAATATCAGTTTATTACTCATTATTAAGAAACTAGAACTACTATCTTGCAATAACTTGTGTTTATATGCATACATATTATGCGTACATACAAGCTTTAACAAATTATGGCTAAACAATTGCACCAAATTAGCGAAGATACAGATAGCTCGTCAACGAAGTGACGGAGTGCTCATTATTGCGAGATCCGATGACTTGTTGCAAATCTGATCTGTGTTTTTGTTTTTCTGTTTTGGGTTAGTCTAATGTTTTTTTTTTAGGGTTCTTGTCGGATGCAGGTTTCTGGTGCGTTACTAGAAATTGATTGCATATGATTAGTAATTGTTAAGTTGTTATAATTATCAGCAAAGAAGCAAGTTATTGTTAAGTTGTTATGAATATCAGCAAAAGAGTAATGATTATCAGGCCCAGGGGGTAAGAAGCGAGATGTGCACATGTGAATTGTAGGGAAAGGGAAGTGTTATAAGGATGGCTGTTTGGGAGGAAGAAGCCATCTTTTGCTTTGCTATCGTTCGCCTTAGAAGGTCTGGCTCTTTCGTCCCGCCTGTTTCCCCCCAATAGTAAGTGGCTCGGCGGCTATGCACAGTGCAATGACCACGGAGTGGGCCTCGGTTTATTCTCTAGAAATGGGGGCTCCGCAGCTGTTTTGGCAGTTCAAGGACCTTCGGAAGTTGTTTTTTGGCTCCGCGGCTGCATTGGTAGTGCAAGGACCTTCGGAAGTTGTTTTTTGGCACTGCGGCTGCTTTGGCAGTGCAAGGACCTTGAAAGGGATTATAGCTACGTATCTGAGAAGCACGCTTCGCTCAGCAGTTCGATTCTCTTTTTAGCTATGCAAATACCTGTCATCATCGCTTTGGGATGGTCATTTTCGCCTTTCTAACTGACCTTGTGTCAGATAGTTGTTTGGTTCGGGATGTTGGGACGGCGCTTCATTGTCTCTCCGTGGGATTGGTTAACAATTAATCATGACTTTAAAACCAAACCTGTGTTAGCCTAATTATTAGTCTAGAGTACTATACGGCACTGACTACAGTATCCCTGGTTATAATACCTCCACAATAAAGACCCGGGTACAATTCACAGGGACACGATTCAGAAAATTGAAAAAACCCAGATATTATTCTAGGTATTAATATATTCCTCCTTATTAAATTTATATTGAAATCATGTAAAGAACAACTTCTTATAGTATTCTCCCCCATAATTAGTAGCCGGGTGGTATTATTCAGAAATTTAATAGTTTCTGGAATAGTACCCGGGCACTGTAATCAGCGCTGTATAGTATTCTCAAGTTATCGAGAGCCACTGTGTAATCTGAAATCGAATAAACTAAGTTACTATTTCGATAAATAAAATATAGTGGTGTGGGTCTAATTGACTAAATTTTAAATTTTGCATTTTGAAAATGAATTTTTTGCATATCACTAGAAGAAACATTTCAATTATTAGCAATAATCGCTTCAATTAATTGTGGCAATTAAACATGTTAATCACTAGCAAACAGATTTGAAAACATCTTCGTTTAGAGTTAAAAAGTTGAGAAATAACTGTTGGAAATGGCAAATCTTTCTTGTAGTAATTAGGAATAGTTTGAGGTAATGTCAATAGCTCAAAATTTTATAGTCAACTTTTTCTATAATGAGCTGATTGTTCTGGAAGAAAAAGGTTCGTTATAGAAAATTACTAGAACTTATTATTAAATTTCAAAATTTTTGAGTTCGTTATACAGAGGTTTGTTATACAGTATCCAGTGTCGACTGTATAAGTACTTACTTCATTCCTTTAGCTAAGTTTATTTTTTTTCTACTTATTATTAAATTCCACAATTACTTATACTAATTTATTTTCTCTTCTAGCTATTTAAGATTGCATCGCAGTTTTCTCAAACAAGGCTTTTCAAGACTTTTATAAAAGCTAAAACAAACTCCAATAACCATAAGATTTAGAGGTTTCTGTTTGTTCTTTTTTAATAAAAAGCAGAATGATTGGATAGGTTATTATCTTCGATATTACTATTATTGTCCGATTTAATAATATTTTTTCTGCGGGTTTACTATCTAATCCTTTGAGACTCGATTCACTTCTACAATTGACATTTTGGTTCTACTTTTAAATAACTTGACTTTCGCTCTTGAGACGGTATTTAGGCTTTTCTATTTTCTTTAATACGGTCGACACTGGATATGACAAACCTCTATATAACGAACTCAGGATATATCGAACTCAAAATTTTAAATTTTCATAATATTTCAGTATAAAAAGTGTTATGAATCTTAAAAAAATAGTAATTTTTTATAAAAACTTTTTTTCCAGAACTATCAGTTCGCTATAAAAAGAGTTGACTGTATTATTTTATTTAATACCTAACAATTCCTTCTGGTTTATTAAAAATCTTGTTATTACCTTGTTTTCGCTATCTCTTCTTGGAACAATCATCTTTTCATAACTCTCATTGGTCTCACCATTTTATTAGTGCTGCACAATTCCACTTTATGACATTCAAAAGCTCGCACAATGTAATCAAAGATGAAATTCGAGATCGTGAGAAAAGTCCAGATTAGTATAATCACATCATATTAGGATTAATAAAACAATAATGAATCAAAATATTACCTGCCGTATTTGAGGCCTTTTCATTAAGTTTTCAATACTTTATAACCTGAACCGCTTCATAGTCCTATAAAAATATTCTGCGTTTAATATACGAACACGAACTGCCACCAGAGCACTTGAGTTTTTGGATTCAACAAATAAACCTTAATCTCGCCAGGCCTTGTTTTATAGTTATTTTATAGCTATGGTTACTAAGATTTCCAGGGTCTTTCCACTCACTTTGTTTAGCATATCGCGAGGTTTTTGTAATGAGAAATTAAAAAATAAAAGAATCATTGCAGTTACGTCATTCTATTATCATATAAATCTTGTGTAACTATGTCCCGAAGGGTGATTTTACTAGCAAAAATTTTGTGTGACGGGATTTTAGTTTTGTGTAACAATAAAGCAAATCTAAATTTAGAACAATTTTGAATTTGTGTAACAAAACTATAATCTTTGTTTATCCAAAATCAGGTGATCTTCCCGAACTGTGATTTTCCTAGCAAAAGCCCCATATGACATATGATTTACTATGCCTTATAACTTGATTTTCAAGGCAAAGGCCCCATATGATGACAGGTTCCAGTACGGATACGTATCATTTCACCGACAATTATTTCGCCGACACCTCGGTTCACCGACAATCAATTCACCGACAAGTTTATTTCACCGACAACTATTTCAACGACAGCCCATTTTACAGACAAGTTTTTTTGAAAAATTGCACTAACCTTAACTCTAATTCTAATCTGACCCTAACGAAAATGACCAGAATTATTTTGTCGGTGAATGATTGTCGGTGTAATAACTGTCGGTGAAGTAAATTTGTCGGTAAATTGACTGTCGGTGAAATGGGCTGTCGGTGAAGTGATTGTCGGTAAAATGAGCACCCCTCAATGGTAAAACTTTTCTTTCTTTCAGATGTGGTTTTACTAACAAATTTATAAAATTTACAAAATTTTTAATTTTTGAAATAATTGAATTTCTTAAAATTTTATATTGATTGTTCTTTAAATGTGTTAGGTAAAATCAACTTTCACAGGAAACATATGTTAAAAAAAACTAAAATGTTTTTGAATCAAGACTATGTAAGGGGGTATTATAGATATTGTCATAAAGACTAGAATAAGGTGAAATTACAGCATAATAAGTTTTGATAAAAATGTAGTTTAGTGCATTCCTAAAGAGTTGAATAACTAATTCAAACAAATAGCAATTATTTATTTTGAGCAATATTAATTTATACTACAAAATAAAATAACTATTTCTACTTGTCTATTTAATATGTTACTTTAAGCTGGCAATTATTAAAAGCATTATACGCTTATTGCTGCTAATGTCTCTCATTACAGTAATTAATCTCATGTATATTATAATATGGCATATTAAACTTACGATAGTAATATATATTTTATACTGTACCCAATTTTATTAAAATGCACCTATGGTGCTTTACCACCCTTGTCGTATTATCTCAAAAACTGGCTAATTAATCGGTGCTAGATGTTCTAAGTAAAAATGCTCTACGCCTCCCAAAAACCCTTCCCAAACCTTAATTCTAATCCTAAATATTAATCCTAACATTAGAAAGTTTGTGTTAACAATTTATATACAAGACTCATAAAAATTAAAAAAATCTATAAAAACATACAGTCAGCCCTCTCTAAGTGCACCCTCTATAAGTGCACACCCTCTCTAAATGCATGCTTAGATTCTGGCCCAAATATATACTTGACCTCTGTAAATGCATTTTTTCTTATTATACTCTAAATGCACGTCGTTAAAGTGTGGTACCAAGGGTGTGCACTTAGAGAGGTCTGACTGTATAATAAATGATAAAACATTAACAGTGTATAAATGTCGTGCTTGAAGTTGCATTGCTTGCCGTTGTTTTAAGTGGTTTTAAGAACGACCTAAATACTATAATACACCCTCTTCTCATATTTTTTTAAAAAATTGCGTTTAGGTGTTTGTGCTTATTAACATTAAGGCCACTTAAGTTGTTTTTAATTGATTAATATCAACATTTCGAGTTGTCATTTTTTATACGTTTCATAATACTTTACTTAGAAAGTTCGAGTAATTTATCTCTTCGTATAAACGGAATAAGTTATTAGATAAATTTGAAGTTTTCTTCCTGCCGTCTTATTTTATATTACGATTTACTGACCGAAGGTATAAGTAGTTAACAGCCACTACGTCGACAAAATCTTGTACTGTGCATATGTTAATGGCATTGACATTTTGCTATTTTTAAGTTCCAGCATTTTAGAATTTATTAGTTGTCATAAGTAAATCTACTAACGCTATTAATGCTACCATCGCAAGGATTCCAGTACTACCAAGAATATCAGGAGCTAAGAGTCCGATGACTATTATACTACTATAAAAGTGTGTATGCATGACCCGGATCTCGTACATTCCACCAAAAAAATTAATTAGTAAAAAAAAAAAATAATTATTAAAATGAGAGTGGGTCTGATATACGGGGATTTTGTATATTTACTTTTACAGTATGTAGCTAAAAAAGAAACAATGAAAGGTTTCAGAATTTACTTGTTTTGAAGATAAGTGGCTTATTTTGAAGCTAAGTGGGAGCTTAAGGTTCTTATTTATATTTCTAACTTTCAAAGTCAGAAAATGAAATAGAAGTTATATTTTATAAAATCTGAACTTTTAGGATTTGATGATACTATTGCTATTTATAAAATAGAATTTATATACAGTCGGCCCCCTCTAAATGCATCCTCCCTAAGTGCATGACCTCCTTAAATGCATATTAATTTTCTGGCCCAAATACAGTCAGCCCTCTCTAAGTGCACCCTCTATAAGTGCACACCCTCTCTAAATGCACGCTTAGATTCTGGCCCAAATATATACTTGACCTCTAAAAATGCATTTTTTCTTATTATTCTCTAAATGCACGTCGTTAAAGTATGGTACCAAGGGTGTGCACTTAGAGAGGTCTGACTGTATATCTTTATTTTAAATTTCTTAGGTTTGGAAAAGTCAGGAGTACTAGTCTTAGTGATATTCTTAATAACATTTTTATACTTGATATTTTTACTCTCGACTTGGACACAAGGTATTTAAAAATTATTATTATTTAAGTCGTTGAGGTATTAAATTGTTTTTTTTTTTTTTTTTTTTTACTTTCCGAGTTAGATTTCGATTTTTAATACTAATAACAATTCATAGTCTACAATGTTAATGCTCTTAACAAACTTTTTTACTTTTTAAATTTTATATTTCCTTATCTAATAAAGTACATACAAATTATTAGAATGCTGTTGGTGATACAATAACTTCTAGAAGTTCTCATTCTGCGGTATTATCTCCAGATGGGCATGTTATAATTTATGCTGGAAATAAAATATATTGCTTTTAATCAAAGCCAACAGTTAGCTTCATTAGATACGACCGTTAATCCGTACAAGTGGTCCAAAAATCATTGAATGGTTATAATATACCACTTCCACTTTCTTTCCATTCTGCTGCCATAGTAGGAAACTTTATGATTTTAGCATTTGGTAATTATATGATTCATTTAGTTTATTATATATATACAGTCAGACCTCTCTAAGTGCACACCCTTGGGACCACACTTTAACGACGTGCATTTAGAGAATAATAAGAAAAAAATGCATTTATAGAAGTCAAGTACTGTATTTATTTGGGCCAGAATCTAAGCGTGCATTTAGAGAGGGTGTGCACTTATAGGGGGTGCACTTAGAGAGGGCTGACTGTACTTGACCTCTGTAAATGCATTTTTTCTTATTACAGTCAGCCCTCTCTAAGTGCACACCCTCTCTAAATGCATGCTTAGATTCTGGCCCAAATACAGTCAGCCCTCTCTAAGTGCACCCTCTATAAGTGCACACCCTCTCTAAATGCACACTTAGATTCTGGCCCAAATATATACTTGACCTCTAAAAATGCATTTTTTCTTATTATTCTCTAAATGCACGTCGTTAAAGTGTGGTACCAAGGGTGTGCACTTAGAGAGGTCTGACTGTATGTATATACTTGACCTTTATAAATGCATTTTTTCTTATTATTCTCTAAATGCACGTCGTTAAAGCGTGATCCCAAGGGTGTGTGCACTTAGAGAGGTCTGACTGTATATTTTAAGACATTTTTTAATACTTATTTAATTTTTTTTATCTGGTATTACGAAATAAAATAGTACAGTCAGACCTCTCTAAGTGCACACCTTGGGACCACACTTTAACGACGTGCATTTAGAGAATACAGTCAGACTTCTCTAAGTGCACAACCTTGGGACCACACTTTAACGACGTGCATTTAGAGAATACAGTCAGTCCTCTCTAAGTGCACCCTCTATAAGTGCACACCCTCTCTAAATGCACGCTTAGATTCTGGCCCAAATACAGTCAGCCCTCTCTAAGTGCACCCTCTATAAGTGCACATCCTCTCTAAATGCACGCTTAGATTCTGGCCCAAATATATACTTGACCTCTATAAATGCATTTTTTCTTATTACAGTCAGCCCTCTCTAAGTGCACCCTCTATAAGTGCACACCCTCTCTAAAGCACGCTTAGATTCTGGTCCAAATATATACTTGACCTCTATAAATGCATTTTTTCTTATTATTCTCTAAATGCACGTCGTTAAAGTGTAGTACCAAGGGTGTGCACTTAGAGAGGTCTGACTGTAAGCTTTATTTTTTAAAATTGTACATTTTACTAACTGTTAAGTCTATATTTAGCCATTGGGCTTTTTTTAAAAAATTTTTGCATATTAATTGTTTCTTTTTTTTTCCTGAAACTAACTAAGAAATATTGTTTATAATGAACGTAATTTCGCTTTAATTTTCCAGAGTTCTAGTGTCATCTATTTATATGATCATTTGTTTTACAAATTTGTAACAATTTGGTAAATAATTAACATAAATGCATATAAATTTATGATTGTATATAATGATATCTACAAACAAATTAAATATCAATTAAATGAGCAAGATAAGCTTTTCCTAGCATTATTCTTAAGAATGGATAGTCAAATTATGAGTGATTATTTCTATCTTTATGCTTAATGCTATCCAGTTTTTGTTATCCAAACTATCCAAGACCTTAGAACGTACATATGTATGTACGTACAGTATAAACATATGTTGTGATAACGACTTTATTTTGCTATTATTTTCCCCTAAATTCCAGGAGTAAAATTTATCTGTTGCCACAAGAAAACCTTGCTACTATTATTTCTGTCCAAAAAAGATTATCATGACCCTATCAAGACTTGAATATCCGGAGTTAAAATCAGATTACCATAAAACTAAATAAGAACAATTGTCATATTGATTTAACATAAATAAATTAAATGTAGTTATTGTTAAGGGGTAAATGCGACATTTCCGAAATCGTAATGAATTGTGCCTCAAGGCTTGGATATTATGAGGCTTATCGGCTGAAAATCATGACGTAAATTACAAAGTGAGTTACAATGTAAAGGCTTAGTATAACTGCAGATACTTAAGCCACTCTATTAGTTCGTAAAGGTTATTTGAAGGGTAAGGTTGGATACAACACTTATGTGTGGGTAAGAATACTAACCCAAGCAAATTTTCCTCTTATCATGATGTCTCGGAAATTAACCAAATCACCATGATCATGCCTCTGGCGAGCTGCTTTAACACATTTTTCTCCTGCATTCGTTCTTAATATTATACGTTAAATTCACCGACATGATTAACATAAAATATAAATTACAAAATACATGCTTCTATTGTAAGCATGTAGAATTGCGTTCAATGAATCAAGATTACGCACACATGGCTAAGGTATTAATAAAGATTTACAGTTGGGAAACTGGTTCTTATATCAATGAAATGAGATCTACCGATTTAATGTTGCGGATTGACTAATATAGTTATAAACTAAGGTTAATATTTTTATAGCTTGTTTATTCAGAATCTCCTCTCTTAACGTTAATGCTGCCTCGGATATTACCAATTTTGGGGGTCATCTAAAGCCATGTACCCACGTGACTATTTTGTGTAAATCAACCAACCGGAATTGCGAAATTTTGTTTACACGAATCAGTCCGAAGAAGTCAAAAATAAAGAAAACGCAAAAAGACAAAAAACATAAATCTAAACCTGTCTTGGGGCACTAATTAAAAATGTCGGGAAGGCAATTTTACCTATACCCCTCTTCTTATGTCAACACAAACCTAACCCTAATTCTAACCTTAATTTTAATTAAACTGATTAAAACGTCAAAATCACGTGGGTACATGGCTTTAGCCATCCCCCAATTCGGATGATGCAGATCATACCCTTTTTTGTACAATTTGATTCCATATAAGTCTAACTAATCTATGAGGCTAAAATTATGCCAATCATCGTTTGCTTTCTGATTTGATAAAACAACACCTTATAAAGTCCCTGGGATCACAAGGGATCCATAGACTACGTGTCTATAAGGCCATTTATATTAAAATTAATTCAAAATTTTGTTATTAACTATCTCATGACCCCATTTCCAGCTGTATTAATATATAGGTCGATTCTAGAGTATTATTTACTATGTTGTAAATCGTTTTCCATATTTGGTAAAATCCGAGACTGTAATGCAAATGCAAACTAATGATGAATAAAATTTACTTGACATTATTTAAACATGTTAATCTAACAATTTTAATTTAATTTTTAATGGAATCTTTTAAAAATTACTTTTTTCTTTGCCTACTTATTTTTCTTGCTTGGACTTCAATTGGTGCGGACGGTTTTGAGCCACTCGGACGTCTCAGACAAAGTAGTGCTCTTGTAGGGAATAAGTTTTACTTTTTTGGTAGTGTCATTTTTGAGAAACCGTTTTTCTCGATGTGACCCTTTCAACGCTAAATACAACAAATCCTTTATGGTTCTCATCAAATGCTTCAGTCCCGACTAACTCTGCATTTGCTAGTGCATGTGTTGGTGGTCCTAATAAAAATACAATATATCTTTTAGAGCATCTTAATGAAACTAACGCAGTTAGTAATACTACTATGGTTTATGTCTTTGATACTGTAAGCGAAACATGGAATACGCCAATTATAAGCGGGACACTCCCTGTAAGTCGACAACAATTTCAAGCTGTTAATGATACTAAAGGCAGAATATATATGTATATTTATCTTTTATCATCGTATTTTCTTTGGAATTATATAAATCACACCATGGTGTTAACAACGTAACAATCTAATAACCATAATGCATAAAAAATTTTTCTACCATTAAGGTTAGGGTCAAAATATAAATATGGTGTTGAACACCAGTGGTGTGATTTGCAGTATAAACGTCCTATTTTTATTACGTCTATTTGAATTTCTTAGGTTTGGAGGATTCAGGAATTCTGGTCCTAGTGCTGCTCTTAATGACATTTTTATACTCGACACATTAAGCTTAACTTGGACACAAGGATCTTCTGTTGATGCACCAACGGCACGTGCGGACTTTTCTGCTACACTTTTAAATAATGGTCTTATACTTTATATAGGAGGTGGTGACAATATTAATATGGCCGAGGTAATTAAATAATATAATTAAGTATTTAAGTTTATTATTTAAATCGTTGAGAATTAAATTATTGTATTTTTTACTCTCTTTACTCTCCTGAGCTAGATTCCGGCTTTTAATACAAATAGTGGGGCATGGTCTACTGTGGTAATACTCTCGACAAGCTTTTTTTTTTGTTTTTTAAATTTCATGTTTTATATCTAATGAAGCATATATAAATTATTAGGTTGCTGCTGGTGATACAATAGACCCTAGAAGTGGCCACACTGCCGTATTATCCCCAGATGGACATGTTATAATTTACGGTGGAACTAAAAATAACAGTGCTTTAGATCAAAGTCAACAGTTGGCTTCATTAGATACAACCGTTAATCCATATAAGTGGTCCAAAAAATCATTTAATGGTATTAATGTGCCGCCTCCGCTTGTATTTCATTCTGCAGCTATTGTAGGAAACTTTATGATTTTAGCATTTGGTAATTATACGATCCATTTAATTTATTAAATATATATATTATGTGCGTGTATTAATTTATTGTTAATTTTTTAAAAAAGGTGTATCTGGCACAAGTAATAATGTTTATGACTTGAATAATAAGAATACACAATTATTCCTTCTTGATACTCAAAATTATATGTGGGTCACGGACACATTGCAACAACCTAATGCCACTACTTCACCTAATCCTCAAAATCCTTCAGTTACTTATATTCAAACTGTCGTTGCTTCAAATTCTAATGCATTAAATACAGGTGTAATAGTGGCGATTCCTATAGTTTCAATTGCCATTCTTGCAATAATAGGCTTCACGGGGTATTGGCTTTATAAAAGAAATAAACAAAAAGATATTATTCGTATAGCAGGTTCTAAAGGAGGGTACTAAGCTTTTATGTAAAATATTTAAGTAAATTCTTTGATTAATTATAACCCATGTATAAATATTTAATTTTCATATTAATACAGTATATAAAACTTATAAACCATAAAATCAAAAATAATATAAAATAAATAAAAACATACATTCAGAGAACAAATAAGAAGATTTGCATTTATTTAGACAAAGCATATACGTATTTTGTTTAAGGTTTGAAATTGCACTTAGAGAGGTTTCACTTTATTTGAGGTGTTGTCATTCAAAGCGTGCGCAATGTTAATATTGTATTGGGAGAATTAACTACAATAGTAGTTGTAAGTAATTACTAGCTTTATATCGATCTTTAACATGGCTTATTCATATGAGATGAAATAAATATTCATATTGACATATATTCTTAAATGCATTTCTATATACGTATATTACATAATATAAATTACAATTGGGTTCACGTTACAGTATACTTATATTTGGTACCTTTTGAAATGCATATAACTAGAGATTATAGTTGTGGGCAGTGGTAGTTTGAGGTTTCGGATTATAGTTTCGGGGTTTCGGTTTTTTTTTTAAAAAAAATCCGAAACTAGTTTCGAATTAGAGCTTTCCGAAGCTAGTTTCGGGTAGGTTTCGTTTCGAGTACCAACTCTAATTCATATGCCGTAATATTTTTCTCAATTAATTTTTACACAACATTTATTAATCTGAGAAGATGAAAATATTGTACGCTC